CCCTAAAGCCCCATAGGGCCAGCGGCGGGGGGCGGAGGGGGCGGAAGCCCTAAAGCCCCAGAGGGCCGGCAGCGGGGGCGCGGAGGTGGCGGAAGCCTGCGAAGCCAGCCACACGGGGCCAGCTGCGGGAGGCGGAAGCGGCGGAAGCCCCAAGCAGCGGGCGGCGGAAGCGGCGGGAGCCCCAGTGCCCCGCAGGGCCAGCGGCAGGGGGCGGAGGGGGCGGAAGCCCTAAAGCCCCATAGGGCCAGCTTCAGGCGGCGGAGGGGGCGGAAGCCTTAAAGCCCCATAGGGCCAGCGGCGGGGGGCGGAGGGGGCGGAAGCCCTAAAGCCCCATGGGGCCAGCGGCGGGGGGCCAAGGGGATCCAGAAAGACCCAGAAAAACCTGGGAGGGCCCCGCGCCCGCGTGGGCACACCCCTCACGCGGATCGCGGGCGCTGCCGCTGGCCCCAGAAAGCGCGCGAGTGCGGAGGAGGCGGAAGCCCTGGAAGGGGGTGGCGGAGTAGGCTGAAGCCTTAGAAGGAAAACCCTAGAAACCCAGATCGGCACACCCCTCGCACGGATCGCGGGCGCTGCCGCTGGCCCGCGGGGCGGCGGCGCGGCGACAGCCGCGGGGAGACCCCCCCTGAGGGAGCGGGGCCCCGCCGGGGGGGGGGGCGGCGGCAAGGCGGCCGGCCTCGAGGGGGGGTGCGCCCGATAGCTCCGTCGCACTTCACCCGCGAGCATCTCGAACCCTACACGGGCTCGACATGGGGGTTCTCGCAGGTTCGCTCTCCTTCCAAAACGATAGATCAGAGAAACACCAGACTCGGGGATACCGAGTCTGATGTCCCTCATCTTTCTCCACGCCCCCAGGGGCGTTGATTTTGGGCCCTGGGGCCAGAAAAATACAGAGCAATATCTACAAAAAAAACGGGGAAGGATGCGAACCCTCACTTCGGATGCACGGCTAACCACGTCCCCCCCTCTTCACAATAGGTTGGGCCTGCCCACGTCGGCGCGCCCCTCGCGCGGATCGCGTCGCGCGGACCCCCCACCTCTTCGCAATAGGTCGGTCCTGCCCGAGCGCCGTTGATTTCCAGTCCGTTCTGCCCAGGCGTCTTGCACTCATCCTGCCAAGACGCACGCCACCATCCTCAACGTCAGCCTCATCATTGTCATCGCCATCGCGCCATCACCATTATCACCACTACCGCCACCAATATCATCAGCATCGCAGTCCATCCTCATCGCCACCCTCATAGCCATCATCATCATCATCATCATCAGCATCATCATCATCATCATCCTCATCCTCATCATCATCCTCACCATCGTCATACCATCATCATTTCAATTCTCGCCATCACCGTCATCATAAAGTTAATCATCGCCCCAATGGTCGCCGACATTATCATCGCCAGTAGCACCTTTACCATCGCAATCATGATCGAACGACCGCGCGGTGTCTCTCGACAGCCCTCGCCCGCCCACCCCCCCCCCCCACATCGCTAAAGAACAGAGGAGGGCGATGGAGCAGAGGCAAAGGGAGGCTGGCTGAGGGAGCGAAGCGTGGCCCGTTCCGCATCGCACGGCCCTGTCTGGAACGCTGTCGCTCGACCACGCTGGCGCCCACAAGTCTGCCCTCGGTATTTCCAAGCGGAAGGGGGAGTGACAGGGCACGGGGGGAGGGGGGCCAGGGTTTGCCTCAATGCCGCCCAACACCTGACGTCAGATCTATACGGGAAAGCGTCGGCGATGCAAAATACTTGGGGCTCACGAGCAGCGCCGCTAAATTGATGAAATCGTGGACCCGAACAGCGAATGTGCGCCTGTGGCAAAATGCAGCAATGCTTCGCAAAGTCTTATTGAGGCTCTCGTCCACGAATGTTGAATATAGCGTTGGCGTCCCATGGAGAGTGATCCTGGGACTTCTCAAGCCACCTCCCTGATGACCTAGCCTTCTGCACTTCCACCTCCATCCTCCACCTGTTATCCATTCCCCCACCCCACTCTCTTCACCCCCGCCCTCGAGCCCCCGTCGGCCCGCCCCGCCCTGCCCCTCCCCCTGTCCGCCACCGTCGGCCCCGCCGAAAACACCGCCGATTGTTCGACGCGCTTTTGCGACGTAGTTTGGAATGGTTCCTGCAGCGGGCCACGTTTAGTTGAGAGCGGGTCGGCCTCGCCTCCCCCCCTCGCCCTATTCCCCCGCCGTCCCCCCCCCCCATCCACCTCCTCCTTGGCCTCCTTGTCCCCATCCTCCTCTTTCTCGTCCTCTTCCTCCTCCTCCTCCTCTTCCCCCTCATCATTCCTCCTCCTCCTCCTCCCCTCCTCCTCTACCTCCTCCTCAATCCCCCTCCTCCTCCTCCTCCCACCTCCTCCTTCTCCTACTCCTCCTCCTCCTCCTCCTCCTCCTCCTCCTCCTCCGCGTGCAAGCCCAGCCAATCAGAATCGCCATTGCAAAATTTAGCCCATCCTCTGAAATCCGCCCACGCCCATTCCCACCCCTCTGCTCCTTGCGCCCGCTCCTGGGGTGGAAGTTGGCGTTGTTGCGCTCGTCCTATCGCCCTCCCATAAAATCGCCCTTCCTCCGCCTCTCCCCCGCCTTCGTCTCCGCCTTCCTTGCCCTCCCGCTCCCTCCCCTGCCTACCTGCCGCCCCCCCCCCCCCGCTCCCCCCCCCCCGCCCAACCACGCTCCAACCACCACCCACCACCCCACCACCACCACCCCCACACCCACCCACCCACACCACCACCCCATCCCCCCTCGAGGGCGCCGAGCTCCGCTGCTCCAGGGGCGGGAGTGGGGACAAAGGGGGGCTGGGTGGCCAGGAAGGGGGCGACGACGCGAGCGGGGGAGGGCCGAGGACAAGGGGGGGGGGGGGGGCTGAGCTCAAGCCGACGCGCGGCCACGAGGCTCAGCGGGGTGGCGCTAAAAACGATCGATGATATGTAGGCTTGCGCAGCCGTCCCCGTGCACGTCCCCTGGAACACATTTATCCCTGGGTCCTGTGGCACATGTGGCAGAGAAGGTGGTGCTTGGGCGTTCTGTCTATCTTCGCAGCTTTGATTGACGCCATATGGACATGCACCGCGCGCAGAACCGCATCCACTGTCCCAGGCGACGGGACCGCAACAGTCTTTCTCAATTCATCGAACAGGGTGACCAGAGTAGAGCCTGCGCCCAGCAGCGGGGCGCCGAAAATACCGATACCACCATAACGAATCAGTTCGTCCCTGGCAAATTTTATGACAATGCTAACCTCGCCCGCCTTGAGCGACATCGATGAACCGCCATGGTCCACATTCTGGAAGCAGGCTTCTTTCCCGAGCGACCCCCCTCACGCGTCTAGCTTGGGAAACTGCCAGCGTGCTCACCCTGTCGTTCCTCCCTCCCCCTCCCCCCCTCCTCCCCCCTCCTCCCCCTCCCCCTCCTCCTCTTCCTCCTCCTCCTCCTCCTCCTCCTCCTCCTCCTCCTCCTCCCCCTCCTCCCCCCCCTCCTCTGCCCCTCTCCGACCCTGCCCCCTCGCGGGGAAGGACGCGCGCGACCGAGAATCAGGGTGCTGATTCTTGGTCGCGCGTGTCGTTCCTCGCGGGGTCGGCGCTGTCCGAGCTGCCTCTCGACTGCCACCCCAACGCTGCCCCCCCCGCAAAGCGGCCGCGGCGGGGCCCTAGAGCTCGCACGCCACGCAGCCCATGTAGATGGGCCTGCGGACGTTCGCACGCCCGCACAGGGCGCACATTAGCACGGGGCGGGCGCAATCGTCCGGCACGGCAGCCGACTCGGGGGCTCCTGCCGAGGCCGCCGCTCGGTGAGGCGGGGTGGGCAGAGGGCGCGCGGGAGAAGGAGGGGAGGGGGGGGGGAGGAGGCGGAGGAGGAGGAAGAGGAGAAGGACCAGGAGGAGGACGACGATCGTCGAGGAGGACGAGGAGGAGGACGAGGGGGAGGAGGAAAGGGGAGGAGGAGGAGAGGGGGGGGGGGGGGGGGGGGGGGGGGGGGGTGAGGAGAAGTGAGGAGGAGGAGGAAGGTAGGAGGAGGAGTAGGAGGAGGAAGAGGAAGAGATGTAGGAGGGGAGGAGGAGGAGGAGGAGAGGAGGAGGGAGGAGAAAGGGGTCGGAGGAGGAAGCGGAGACGAGCAAGGAGGGGACTAGGAGGAGAAAGGAGGAAGAAGAGTAAACACGAGCAGGAGGACAAGGTGAGGGGTTACGACGAAAGAGGAGGAAAGAGGGCAGGAAAAAAAAAAAGAAGAGGGGTGGGGGGGGAAAGAGAAAGGGACTGTGGTAAGAGAGGTAGGAGGAACGAGAAGACGACGAAGACGCTGAGTTGAGAATGAGGAGGAGGGGATGGGAGGGGAGGGGATGGAGACGGAGGAGGACGAAACAACTCGGATTACTGCGAGCGCCGACGGAGTAGTGGACGCAGAAAGGCTGAAAGTTAAAGGCAACAGGGGGGAGAGGGAGGGGCGGGCGGAGGAGGAGGAGGAGGAAGGATGACCATGCCAGAAAGAATGGGGAAGGAGGGCCAGGAGGGGGACGGTGACCACGACGACGACTGCGACGAGCTCCTCGTCGACATCGATCTCTTCGTGCGCATTGTCTCTCTCGGGGCCAACCTCGCCGTCGAGGAGGCCGATCCTGTCGACCTCGCCGTCGAGGATGCCGATCCTGTCGACCTCGCCGTGAGTGCCGCTCTCGAGATCGATGAGGGCGATGGGCTCCATCATGCTGGGCCCCATCATATTGGGCTCCATCGTGGGCTCCATCCTGGGCTCCATCTTGGGCTCCATCATCGTGGGCTCCATCCATCATCGTGGGCTCCATCACGTTGGGCTCCATCGTGGGCTCCATCTTGGGCTCCATCATGTTGGGCTCCATCGTGGGCTCCATCATGTCGGGCTCCATCATGTCGGGCTCCACCATGTCGGGCTCCACCATGTCGGGCTCCATCATATCGGGCCCCATCTCGGGCTCCATGTTGGGCTCCATGTTGGGCCCCATCTCCTCCTCCCCCTCCGAACCGATGGCGCCGTCGGAGTCGTAGTACCCTGAGGCGTCGAGCAGCCCCTCCGAATCGATGCCGCCGTCGGAGTCGTAGTACCCTGAGCGGTCGAGCAGCCCCTCCGAACCGATGCCGCCGTCTGAGTCGTAGTACCCTGAGTCGTCAAGCAGCGACGGGCTCACGTCGGAAATCTCTCCATCGGGCTGCGGGGGTGGCCCTCCCTCTGACGCCATGATAGAACGACGAGCCACGATTGCTGCTCTTCCGTGGCCAAACCTTCTGGCCGAACCGTGGGACTGGGGCAGGGGGGGGGGGCGGGGGGGCGGGCGGGCCACGCGCGTGAAAGGGGGCGGGGCGGGGGGATGGGATGCTTCAGAGATGCGCGTTTTCAAAACCATGTTTGCCTTCTGGCGGTGCCTCTTGGGGGATCTTGCGGGCGTTTGGCTGGCCTGTTGGGTGCGCCGTGGGGGCTTGTTGACAGCCTTTGTGGGCCTGCTGCGCGGCCCCCTTCGGGGCCTGCGTTGGCGCTTCTCGGGGGCGGCGATGTGCCCGACTTATCTCTAGGTGTCGCCATTCATCGTTCTCGCTGTGTCGCTCCCTCTCTAGACTCTGCGCTGGTCGATCTCTCGCTGCGGCCGACTGTTGCGCTCGGCACGCGCGTAATTATACGTTGCACATGTGTAGTGCGCGTGTGCGTGTGTGTATGTGTTTTACATTATGTACACGCGCATGCATGTATATATGTATGTATCTATACATACCTACATATATACATACACAGACATACAACATTTAAGTTCACAGTTGAACCCACACATTTATAATACAAGCGTTTGCAGAAGCTCCCCTTTCATAACTGCGCATGGCCCCCGCGCCCCCGCTCGGGGCCCGTTCTAACCCAGGACGCTGGCAAAGAAACAAAAAAATCGGATCCTGAAAGTTGTACTCGCCGCGGTCGCCCATCATTTTCGGCGTGAGGCTGCCCACGCGTCGATCGTGAGGTATATTCTCTCGATCTTGCCACGCATCCAAATCTGAAGATAACAGCTGCACCCCGCTCGCAATCACTGTTTCCAGCGTGCCAGGTAGGCCCCACGGGTTGCGCAGCACGATCCGCCAAAGGGCGGCGCTGATGAAGCGGTGCGCGGGCCCTAGGTGCAGCGCGTGCAGGACGTCGATTGCCAGCGACTGGCAAGGCGAAGTGCCCAGAGAAGCGCTGAACAACGGGCATCTCGACACCACTTCGTCTAAGCTCCTGCTGTCATTGTTGAACGAGGGGCGCCAAAACGTGATGCGGATCGGCACTCTCGCTGTTTCAAGCGACGCAATGTCTGGGAGAGAACGGGACGGCGTCAGACGATCACCAGGTTGCAACCGCACACCATGAATAAATAATTCTTTCATAACCATTCTGCCCCCCAGCCCCTTGTCGGTTGATTTCCACTTCAATGCCGACTTCAACTCTGAGACGTCCTTCGCCGACCCGAGGGGTGCGCAAATCTCCCGAGCTGCACATGCAGCCCCATGCGATTCGTGCGATTTCAATGGCCACGGGGGGTCTGGAGCATCCAACTCGTCATCGCAGCATTCTAGGTGATCGCGGTCGAGGCTGCAGAATTGACAGGGCCCGTGCACGCGTTGCCACGAGGGCAGGCCAAGCGAGTGCGTGTGCTCGGCCCAATCCCCTTTGACATATAGCAGCATTGCCGAAAAAGGCAATGCCTCACCAGGTGCCATACTTGCGGGGATCATCGAATTGTCCAGGAAACGCGTCGGCGATTGACCTGACTGCATGGCCTCAATTTGCCAGGCTATGTTATCCATGAGCGGGAACAGAGTGCACTGGCCTCTGCACCCGCATTGGCATTTGTCTTGGCCCTTGGTAGCCGCGATGAAATGCCTGCGGCGCGAGATGAGATTCACGCACCACAGGCCCAGCACAGAGTCTGAGCGCCCCGCGGCCTGTTGCTGGTACCTGACACCGTCGAGGTAGATGCCCAGCGGGAGAGGCCGAGAACGACCTTCCCTGGACGCTTTAACAACAGCCTCGTGTTCCAAATCGGCAGGCACGTTAAGGGCGCTCTCTGGGCCAGGATTTTCAGAAGTAAGTGCGTTGAGTATTTCTGGGTCATTTTTGATTTCGGCCCTGATGGATTGCCAGAGAACTCTGACCTGCACGTGTCTTCTTACGCGGCCAACCTGTTTGTCGTACATGGGCGTGGTTACTGGCATTAGCGCCTCTGGAGATTTCGGGAACACTTTATCCAGGTGCTTCTGGTAGTTTCCATTTGAGCCCTGGGCAGGGGCCACCGCGTACAACTTGAAATCCCCACCTGGCACTTTCGCCCCGCTACAGTGCCAGCGCAACGTGGCGAGGTCTTTCGCCGTAAGGCGACAGCTGGCATACAGACTTAACAGCTGCTCCAGTAGGGCCGAACCTGCTTCCCTCTCCGCCTCCGAGGTTGGGTTCCATCTCCTGGGGCCAACTGGCGTGCGAGACCTATCGCCACCAGGCATGGTTGGCCGCCGAAGGGCCTAACCTGCCCGTCGCACAGCCAAACTATGGCAACGGAGTCGTGCCTTCCACTTGTTGTATTGCTGTTACTGATTGTGTGCATGTTTGCTTGTTAGCTTGCTGCTGTAAGTGCGTGCGCGCGTCGGTGAGTGCGCGCGCATAGTTGCATGTGTCGGTGCGTTGGTATGGGCGCACGCGCGTGCCTGACCACAGCGCGCGCATGCGCATGCCCATTTGCGCGGGCGCACGCAGGCCCCCGACTACGCATCAAGAACTTACGCGCATGGTGGCGAGAGACCCTGAACAGCTCAACGAAGCTTAAAAGAGTAATGCTGTAATATTGCCAGATGCACACATGTACATGTGTAGATGTATATAAAATCGTACGAGCAACTGGCAAATAAATATGCACATATTTTTACACGCGCATCTATGTCAGGTGCTGGATATGACAGCGTTACGCTGCAATCTAAAAAGCGGTGGTACACAGTTAAGTGGTCAACGCTACACTAAACCTTAGCATGCTACTCACACCAGCCAGATGCAATGCAATGTAAGGACACCACTGGCTCAACACTATATGCCACTTAACGTGCGATGCTAGCCCTTACTAGGGCATGCGCCTGCGCCACGCCCTTACAGATAAGCTGTTTAGGGGCCGCGCGCACGCTCGACCACCCTCCTTGTTCCGACGCCCTCGCGTTCATGAGTGGCCGCGGCATCAGAGCCCGCATATTGCCCGCTGTATGATTAGCCAACCTCTGACCGAAGATCGGGCGAGCTCATGTCAGACGTCGATGAGCGGCAGATGTCACGGAGCGCGGGGGGAGGGGGCCATCGCTCGCCGACTTCGGGAGAGACTCGCGACAGAGGGCTGAGTGGGAGAGGCGAGGCCAGATATAGAGGGAGAGAGAGAGAGAGAGAGAGAGAGAGAGAGAGAGAGAGAGAGAGAGAGAGAGAGAGAGAGAGAGAGAGAGAGAGAGAGAGAGAGAGAGAGAGAGAGAGAGAGAGAGAAAAAAAAACATAAGTCAAAGACACCGAAGGGAAGGAACAGAGAGATGAGGAGCGAGGAGGAAGATTAAGAGGCGGAGCAGGACAAAGGAAGGAGGTCAAAGCACTGACAGGGGGCAGGCCATCCAGCGCCGCAGCAACCGAATGCTTTTGATATGTCTATCTTGCTTGTGAGCAAACTGCACGCACGATGGGCCAGTCAGTAAATGTGTCGACAGCGAGCGCCATGCGTTGCCACGAACGCTCCGATCTCCCCGCTTCTGCTGCGAGGTCCCCGCGTCCCCAGCCCATGTCGCGTTATTAGGGGTCGCATGCGATTGACGCTCGCCTTAGCTGCCCTCGATCGGAACCCCTGTCTCCTCCTCTCCTAGGTCCTCGCCTGCATTCCCTCTTCCCCCCCTTCCTCCCACCCCCTCCTCCTCCTCCTCCTCCTCCTCCTCCTCCTCCTCCTTTTCCTACTACTTTCGGCCATCGTTGTTCTAATCGCCCACCTGCCCATGTGCTGCGCCCGCGTCCTCCAAGCCCCCTCCTTCTCGACTCTATGCGGCGAGCGTGCCTCTCCGCTCCGCCGACGCACCACCTTTCCTGGCACCTCTTCTCCCGCGGGCCCGCAGCCGGCCCCCCAGCGTCTGAGATAGCCTCCGACAGGTGATTTTGGACAGAAAGCGGGGCCAGCAGATTTCATCTGCCATTTCATCTGGCAGCTGAAATGGCAGATGAAACCAGATCATCCGGTACAAACCCTGTAAAAACACAGCTTCCGCGCACTTCACCTGGCATTTCATCCGGTACCTGTGCGCACTGATTTCATCCGGTACTTTTTGTGCCACAGGGCAGGCTGAAACGCCTGAACATCTGAATCACTTGCCGAAATCACCAGGACCTCCTCACCCGCACGACGAGGCACCTGGCAGGCGGCTGGAACCCTAGACCCCAATATTGCAGCAGCAGCTGCCGCCCTGGGAAATTGCCCTGGGCACGACGTGCTGCACGAGCGTGCGCGCGATGACGCGCGCGCGACAGAGGCAGAGGCTGCCTCGCGACAGAGGCTGGCTGCCTCTCTAGATCTTGGTCCTCTTGCTCTTCAGCTCGATCATGCCCTGCAGGCACTGGACCAGCTCCTCGAGCGCGTCAAGATCTGGCACGAGGCTCTTGATCTCGAACAGCACGGCATTGAACTTCTCCTCGCCGAGCGCGCCCTTGAGCTTCCCGAAGTCGCTCTGCACGCTCTTCGTCAAGAGCGCTGATGCACAGATCTTGGAGTTCAAACTGGCCATCACCTCACCCATCTTCTCATAGTCCGAGTCATCCTTGACCCACGACAACTGTGCATCTCTCGGCACCTGCACTGTGATGAGGTTGGCCGACTGCACGATCTTGGAGTAGCGAGCCATGATCTTCCTCCCGTCGGCGACCCGCTCCTTGTTGGCCTTCTCGGCGGACGGGGCGTCGCTCTTCAAGGCCGCTGCGATCTTCTCATCCTTCTCCTTCTTGACGCGGGCCCGCTCCTGCGCGGGCGTCTCGGTCGCGGCCACGGCCGCAGCAGCGGGCGCCTCCTGAGCGGGGGCGGGCGCCGCCCTCCCCTGCCATGGGGTGAGGAGTGGTGACAAGGGGCGGGCGCCCCCCTTCACCCTTCTCACCCTCTGAACCTAAACCCCCAACCCCCGCGCACACCTG